AATGACTAGAAGGCTTCCCACTAGGGCCCACTTCTTGTAAAAATTTGCCAGTAGGCTGGGCATGGTAGTACATGCCTTAATCCTAGCACTTTGGGAGGCTGAAGCAGGAGTGTTTCAAGTCCGGTATGGGCAAGTTAGTGATTGTTATGGTTTGTGTCTGGATGTCCCCCCAAACCCTCATGCAGTCATGGGGCGGGCTTCTAGAGTTTTTGATTGATCCATAGTCCAATGCTGGGAGTATGGGTGTGAGTGCTACACCCACCCTGGGGTGGATAGTTTGCGTACAGTATAAGCTAGGAAAAGAGGCTTCTCCCCACTGGCTGCTCCTCCCTTTTTGCTCTTGCTGCTTTTGCTGTGTTCTGCCATTGCCCTCTGCCATGTGCTACTCTGCCTTGGAGCCAGCTGAGTATAGACTGAAACCTCCACAAACTGTGAGCTAAATAAACCTTTCCTTCCTTAATTTTGTGCTCTGGGTATTTTGTCCCAGCAATGAAAGAAAAGTATCTAAGACAGTGACTTAACAAGACCCTATCTCAAAATAAAAATAAATAAAGTGCTGGGGATGTAGTTCAGTGTGAAGACCCTCAGTTCAATCTCCATTACAGAGAGAGAGAGAGAGAGAGGCAGAAAGAGGTGCATAGACGTAGACAGACAGATATAGAGAGAAACAGAGAGAGACAGGGAGACAGAGAGACAGACTGAGAGGTGGGGTAGGAGGGAAGGGAGGAGAGAAAAGAAAAAGTTTCCCAGTAGCACCAAGCTGGGGACTATGCCTTAATTTTAACCATAGGCTGTTGGGGGACATTTAGATTCCAAACTCTAGCAATATCCATGAGCCGAGTCCAAACTGAAGTTGAACAGTAAGTAGGAGTTCTGACAAATTTCCATGTGAATTATCAGTTTTCTTTATCTCATGAACAAAGATAGGGATGATGGATAATTCCAGTTAGTTTGGCCAGTGCCTAAGTAGTTGAAACTATACTGTCAGAGCTCAGAAGAACCTTATAATTCTTGTACAGTAATACCTATATTGTAGCAAATTCTGTCACCAGAAAAATAATTTGTATTAATAGGAAATAATTCTTGTGTCAGTAGGTCACAAAACTAGAGGTTATGAGAAGCTTAAACTATACTTTCAGAAATACTGCTTTTTTAAAATGTATTTTTCAACTTTTACATGTTAAAGATTCAAGGAATGTTAAGAGTAGGTCCCTCAGTATCACCACTTTGTCCTGCTCTGTAAAAGTAGACACTCATTTCTTTTAGCTGATTCCAGGGGGATTTATTCCACATTTTGAATTAATATTCCTATATTGCTATTTCTTAACCAACCAATTGTAGACATTTTCTAGTTATTTCCTTGCAGGGTATGTGTAGGTTTAGATTTGCTATATCATAAACTCTGTTTCCTTTCCACATAATAGAGTTCTGTCACAATTCTACTTAAAGGAATGCTATGCATATGTTAGGGTCTCATAGATAACTTATTGCAACTATTCTCTACCATCTCTCTTAAAAAAAACTTTATTATGGAAAAGTTTAGACATACAAAAGTAGAGTAGTCTTATGATCCACTGCATACTTACCACCAACTGTAATAACTATCGATTTAGACTTAATTTTACTTCACCTCTTCTGCTCCATATATATTTCCCTGCCTTTCCTCCTGATTCTGGATTATTTTAAAGTACTGTAAAGAAAAAATTTATATCTGCCTCTGCAAGATAAAGATTATTTTATGAAAACATAACCATTAAACCCACCAATATCTGGTCGTGCAAATTTTCAGAATTGATTTTTAAGCACTTATTTGAATTGTAATTCAGATCAGGATTCCTCAGTGTAATTGACTGTTACATTTCTTGAGTCTCTAATTTTGTAGATATTCTTGCCATTTCTTCTATGCAGTTGTTTTATTGGAAAAGAAGTAAACTTCATTTGACCTCTGCCTGAATTTTGCTTATTGTATCTCTGTGGTCTCATTTAAATGTTTCCTGAAAATTGGCAGTTATATGTAAAGGCTTGATCAGATTCAGTTGGAATTTTTAAAAGAATATTTCGTAGGTCAGTGGTATGTAATTCTACCAGGAGTCATATTCTGTCTGGTTCTATTTCTTTTTGAGATTTAGCAGCCTGTGATAATTATTGTTAGATTACTGTATACTGTTATTTTAATTTTATCATTCTTTTTGGGTTTTTTGTTTGTTTGTTTCATTTTTTGAAAGAGAGTCTTACTATATAGTCCTGAGTGGTGTTGAACACACTATGTAGCCCATACTGGTCTCAAACTTGCAGTGATCCTCCTGCTTCAGCCGCCAGTGTGCTAGGATTGCAGGCATGTGCTAGCACACTTGGCCCTCATTCTTTTTTCATAGATTAGGTAAGCGTTCTATCTATAAAGGAAAACTGTTCAGCATCAACTCAGTTACCTTGAAGGATAGTTTGTATAGGAAAGAATGATTTTAATTTTTACCAGTTTTTAAAATAATGACCTCACTTCTTAGAATCTTCTAAAACTAACTAATATTTTTTCACTATTATTGTAAATGGTATCAGTCCATTATAGTTATTATCCTTATAATTTGATGAATGTGTTATATACCACTTTGGGCCAAGGGAAATGTCTTGAAGTTGGCTTCTGAGTCTTTTCAACATGATACTAATAGTTTTTGATATCTTTCTTGTTTTTTAATATAGCGAGGTATTCAGACTTATTCTGAGCATTTCTGGCTTAATTCTAAAAATCAGCTCTTTTCCCAAAGAACTTTGGCCTCATTTATTTGAAAATGGTACTTAGAAAACTATAACAAGGTGCTATGTGCTACTGGGTTAGTCATTATTTCTAGGCATATTCAGTGGGCAAAGTTAGGAATTTGTTTAGTATAAAATTAACTCAGTACTCTTGGATCTGTTTCTGACATCCAAAGATACTGGTTCTCCCTTGAGCAACTACTTTAAAGATAACAACATGTAATGCATTAACTATTGTTATTCTCTTATTTTGTTATGAAGTTTTGTTTTACCTTTTTTCCATAACATAAAAAAATCTAAACAAAAAATGCAAGATACTGTTTCTCAGTGGCAATGATATAAATAATCATTGGCTTTATCCCATAAAACAAGCAAAATAGTCTCATTTTGTAAATAGTGTCTTTCTGGGTGTGTGTGTGAGTTGGGGTCTCACTGTTACTGCCCATGCTGGTCTAGAACTCTTAAGCTCAAGTAATCTTTGCACCCCAGCCTCCCAAGTAGATGGGATTACAAATACATGCTACCACTCCCAGTTGTAAGCATAATAGTTTCTGAAGTATTTCTTTCATTACACAGCTAATACATGTGTATATTGTTTTCAGGGATCAGTGATGTTCAGTGATGTGTCTGTAGACTTCTCTCAAGAGGAGTGGGAATGCCTGGACTCTGCTCAGAGGGACTTATACAGAGATGTGATGTTGGAGAACTTCAGGAACCTCATCTCACTGGGTAGGGGCATCTGTAACAATAATTCACTGTTCTCTGGAATCTCTGCTTCTAGCTGAATTCCTGCCTCTTATTCTCAGATAAATGGTTTCAACTAAAATGAAAAGGCAGCATGAAAAACAGGCAACTCTAATGTGCTATTGCTGAAGCTTCATCATCTTCTTTGGCTGTTTTTGTAGTGGGATTTCTTCCTTAATCACCAAGAGACTGGATCTGATTTCTCTACATCATAACTATGTTCCATATCTTTTCTCATGAGCAGGACTTTACATTCCTAAGCCTCAAGTGATCTCCTTATTGGAACAAGGGAAAGAGCCCTGGATGGTTGGCAGAGAGCTTACAAGAGGCCTGTGTTTAGGTAAGTGGAGGTCACCAGACAGAGCAGTGATTACAGATAGTAACTTAGCCTGTCCATAAGAAAACAACACCTTTGAGATGGACCTGGGGAGAAAACTAAGTTCTTTTGCCATGAAATGCCCTGTTTTATCTCTTCCCTCATTAGTCTTTCTCCTACTCTTGTCCTTACCACCTCTTAATTTCAAATTGGAAAGTACTTTTCACTTCCCCTCCAAATTCTTTATCCATATTTTAGATTCAGTTCCAATGGTATTTCTTCCTCTCTTATATTTAAACTTGTATAAGGAAACCAAGAAGCTAAAATAGGCATCCCTCTCCAGCTTCCTTTGAATACAGGGGAGACAGAACTGGGAGAGAGGCCGTCTAACTTTGAGGAAGGCTCTTATTCTATGTATAAATAAATATATATATATGTATGTATATATGTATATACAAATATATATAAATACACACGTACACACACATATATTTTCTCTAGGGTCACTATATTACGGGATGTATACAGATACATCCCGTACTAATTCATGGCTCCTCCTAACCAACTAGGTGCTTACCCCAGGGAAAAGGCCCTGTCAAAGACTGGCAGAAAGAATTTACTCAGAGCCCATTAAAATAAATGCACAGTTTAATTCAACCTTTCCAGATGAATCATATCCACATCTATACTTGAGAATTGTGGTAACTTATTTCTATAGTCTCCCCTTTGTGTTTCTTGTATCATATCTTGTTAATTTCTATGAATTCCTTGTCCATTTTTCAGATTAAACAGGTATCCTTGATAACTGTGTTATTTACCTACTAGATAATACTGTCACTTTAATTTTTTCATATCATAAAAGTTCAACTTTTCACAAATAGGAAGGAAAAATAGTATTTATGACTTTCTTTTCTTTTCAGATCTGGAATCAATGTGTGAAAGCAAGTTATTATCTCTCAAAAAGGAAGTTTATGAAATAGAGTCATGTCAGAGGGAAATAATGGGTCTTACAAAACATGGCCTTGACTACTCCAGTTTTAGAGATGTTTTGGAATACAGAAGCCACTTTATAAGACAATTGGGATACCAAAGTGGGTGTTTAAACCAAGAAATACTTACTCATGAATATATGCCCACATTTATTCAACAGACATTCCTTACTCTGGATCAGATAATTAATAATGAAGAGAAACCCTATGAGTGTAAAAAATGTGGAAAGGCCTTTAGTCAGAGCTCACAGTTTATTCAACATCAGAGAATTCATATTGGTGAAAAATCTTACGAATGTAAAGAGTGTGGGAAATTTTTTAGTTGTGGTTCACATGTTACTCGGCATCTAAAAATCCATACTGGTGAAAAACCCTTTGAATGTAAAGAATGTGGAAAGGCCTTCAGTTATAGCTCATACCTTTCTCAACATCAAAGAATTCATACTGGTAAGAAACCCTACGAATGTAAAGAATGTGGGAAAGCCTTTGGTTATTGCTCAAATCTCATTGACCACCAACGCATTCACACTGGTGAAAAACCATACGAATGTAAAGTATGTGGGAAAGCCTTTACTAAAAGCTCACAACTCTTTCAACATGTGCGAATTCATACAGGCGAAAAACCCTATGAATGTAAGGATTGTGGCAAAGCCTTTACTCAGAGCTCAAAGCTAGTTCAGCATCAGAGAATCCACACTGGTGAGAAACCATATGAATGTAAGGAATGTGGCAAAGCCTTTAGTAATGGCTCAGCACTTATTAATCATCAGAGAATTCACACTGGTGAAAAACCCTATGATTGTAAAGAATGTGGGAAGGCTTTTACTCAGAGCTCACAACTTCGTCAACATCAAAGAATCCATGCTGGTGAGAAACCTTTTGAATGTCTTGAATGTGGGAAGGCCTTTACCCAGAACTCACAACTTTTTCAGCATCAGAGAATCCATACAGATGAAAAACCATATGAATGTAGTGAATGTGGAAAGGCCTTTAATAAATGCTCAAACCTTACTCGACACTTGAGAATTCATACAGGAGAAAAGCCCCATAACTGTCAGGAATGTGGGAAGGCATTTAGTAGTGGCTCAGATCTCATTCGCCATCAGGGAACTCATACTAATGAATAATAAACATTACAGGTCTTATTACATTCTTAACATTTAAAAAATTGATATTTGATAGTTACCCTGTTCTACTGTATTGTTTATTTTATATTTAAGTTTTCAATCCAAATACATTTCACTATAGGTTATGCATTCACAGAGTATAAATTGATACCAGATGTGGGGGTGCATGCCTGTAATCCCAGCACTCAGAAGGCTGAAGCAGGAAGATTGCCATGAGTTCAAGGCCAACTTGGGCTACAAAGTAAATTCGAGGCCTGGCTGAACTACATAACAAAACTGTGCCTAAAAAAAAAAAAAAGTATAAATTGACATCCTCTAGTATTATGTCAACGCACATTAGTCAGTAATTATTTTCCCATTGTTTGGGAATGCATTATATATTCTTGTTTACCTTTGCTTGTTTTTAGGATGGCCTTCTCTTTTTCTGACCTATATATTTGTGTTTGCCCCAATATCACATTGTTTTGTGTAACTTTTGATAACTTTAAATTCTTTGTGGAATTATAATTTTGTTTTTGAAGTCAGTATTTAATATTTTTGTTTCACTAGTTTTTATTTTTATCAATGAACATAGAAAACCAGAAACTAAAACTAAAAATTAATTGTGGCCATACTATTAATGAGTACTCTCAATTTCATAGAGCAAATTCTGCTAAACTCTTGATTTTTAAGGAAATGTATTTTGGTATGAATGCTGTACCTTCACCCCCTTTTATCATGCCAAAAGTTACGGTTGCCATTTCAATAAATACAGATTTTATTTTAATAACACACTTAATAACTTTAAAAAATGGCTGTATTCATATTATTGTTGCCTCTACATTTCTGTAGTTCTATAAGTTGTCCTCACTTGTAAGACCTATAATTTAGCTCTGGACCCTTGGATTTTTTTTCTTTTAAAACATTTATTTTAATTGCTGTAGTTGTCCATATTTTCTCCTTACAAACTATTTTGTTTCTTTTCATTAACTCAAATTCTGAGGCCATACTAGAAAGGCAGTTATTGTTATGACAGTGTTATTTTTCCAGATATTTAAATTTTTTCTCATACATGTTAGTGGTATTTTATTTCTTATGTATAGAGTCACATGTATGCATTGGTTTGCTGTGAGAAATCAATGGATTAATAAATGTAGGGTACTTAGACTTATTCTTATAAGATAGTATATGTTTAATAAAAGTATTTCTCTACTATCATTGATATAATTATTATGATCTGTGGATTTTAATCATGTTTACCTTCAAAATCAGAGAATTCATAATAGAAAAAGAGAAATAATTATAATAACTACAGGAAAGAAAGCCTTTCCTCCAACACTTGTTATTCAGCAGAAAGAAAGTTCAAGCCCAGACTGAGTAATTTAGCTAAAGCCTGTCTCAAATTAAAAAATAAAAAACGGAACTAGGGATATAGCTCAGTGCAGAGGCTCTGGGTTTCATCTGCAGTATTCCAAAAAATGAAAAACAGTTGCATTTCTAAAATATGTGAACAAAGTCAATACTTTTTATAAAAAGAATTTAAGGGAATATGAAGGACTTTTCCTCCCCTAAGAACATGAAAACCCTTGACAAGATGAAAACTGTACTTTTAAACAGGGCTGGAGTCATCTCAAAGCCTTATTGACTCTTTCCTACTGTTTGATGCTGTCGGGTAGAACCTTAGCTAGAACTATCAGCTAGAACACCTGTATGTGGACTCTGTAATGTGGGGTTCCTCATATCATGGCAGGGCTAGGAGCAGACATTGTAAGGAAAACCAGGCAGATGCTACAGTGCTGCTCCTGTTACTTCTTGTTTTTCTCTCTCTTTTTTTTAAATGGAAGAATAAACTTTATTGACTAATGAAAAAAATGATAAGTATAGGTAATAATAAAATTTACTGTAGGCCATTGTTTGGATTTGTTTGTTGATTTGTTTTGGTGTTTTTTGGGGGGTGTTGAGACAGGGTTTCACTGTGCAGTTTGGGCTGGCCTTGAACTCACTATGCAGCCCAGGCTGGCCTTGAATTCACAGTGATCCTCCTGCCTCAGCCTCCTGAGTGCTGGGATTACAGCTATTTACCACCATGCCCTGCAGGAGTCAGTGGTCTCTCCGTGGTTCCCGGGAGAAAACAGTGAGAGGGTACAGAAAATAAAGATGAGACAATAGCCGGGGTCAGGTAGAGTTACCTCTTGCCTGATGAACAAGAGGACTGACTCCAACAATAGGGGCATTTATTTTATACACTTGCAAAGTAGTATCATGAGAGATAATGTTGCCTAGCAACTAACTACTGTAATTGTCCTGCAGGATACTATTTTCAATACTGAGGTAGCTTGACTGCCTGAGGCACTCTGGAACTGTCCCACCCTCAGACACATGACCAACAACCAACTCAGCAGCTCCCAACATCTCTCCCTTTTCTGTTTAGTTGAAGAAGTGATGGTTGTTCAGTTGAAGCTGGAAAAGCTGTGCTTGAAGAATATAGTCCAAAGTCCATAACAGTTATCAGTCTAGCTGGCAGCTGTCAGGAGTCGTTGGTGACTTGAACCTTTTATGGCTAACCCATTACAGTGGCATTGTTTTTATACATTTTTGGTTACAATTTTGCTGGACGTTTAAGACCAAGTTAAAGTGAGACCTGTATAAATAAAAATGTAACTTTTTGCTATCTATCAGGGTCAGTTAAGTCTCCTCAGGAATCATCTTGGAACCAAGTACAGCATCTCTAGATCTTCTGTCAGTGTCAGCCATCTGGATGAGTCACGGCCATTGCTTGACCAACTTGCTTTTTGTGAAAGCTTGAGAGATTTTTTTTTCCTGGTGACTCTCCTTAGGCACACTGCATATCATAGAATCACTTTACTCTGTGGTCACATAGTCTCCTTGCTGAGAAAATCAAGGACTCAACCGAATTATAAGATGTCACAGCAGAGGTTTTCTTTTGTCTTGAGTCTATACCAACCTCAGAGGGCGTAGCCAAAATATTGACTGTCCTTTAGCCCAATTTATCTCTCTAGTTTTTGGTCTCCAGACCTCAGTTGTTAACCATCCAGCAGAGAAGATTAATGGCATAACATTATAACAGAGGCAATAAGCTTAATATTACAATCTGAACTGAATAGCAAATACCTTAGATCATACAAATGGAACCATTATTTTTTAACAATCATGGATATCCTAACATTTAAATCCTAATAGAATGTTAACAAACAACAGTTACATATTTTTACCCAGAAATTTAGAAATCAAAACCATACATAACATTGCTACATGACAATCATGATGACATTTTGTAACATACTTAAATTTTCATTATGACATAATATGACCTTTTTTAACCAATCATCTCTAGCCAATGAAGCTTTTATCTAATTTGTTGTCCTTTCGTGGTTTATACATCACAAGTTTTTGTTAAAGGCAGAGGTCTGAATCTGAAGGGAAAGTCTTATCACACTAAATAATCTTTGTTTTGCATTTTAGAAGACCTGTAGATCTGGAATCATGAACACATTTAATACACCGTGAGATTAACACTCATGAATTACCATACACATGTGAAAACCTTTGTTAAATTTAATTTTTGAACCAAGAGCATCTTTTATGAGAAAACCTTCTTGTAATTTTTACTGAAAAACTTGCCTTCAACAAAATGACCCAATTATTGAGGTGTCTCCCAAGAGACTATGGAGATCACTGGGGGCTCCTTATTAATGAATAAAGGTTGGCCATTGCTCTGTTCACCAGTTGGAGTCCTACCCAATAATTTCTCCTCATACTAAGGACTGTGGTTAAATATCTAATTTTGATAGCATTTAAACCAGCTGGTAACTCACATGAAAGCTTTTAAATCTATAACCCAATTGTATTATGAACAAATGATAAAAGAAACATTGTTGAGCTCAAAATGAAGGGGAACAGCTGTTTACTGAATGACAAACACTAAACAAGTACACAGAATAAACAAACATCTTCACAAAATCAGAGTGCACTCAAATAAGTTTTTGACCAAATTGAATTATAGCAACTCTATTACAATTTTAGAAATTTATAATTTAAATAGACTAGTCAGATTTTGTTGTCAATTGGCAGAGATCTCTTATCAGGAAAATTTGGATAAGACACAATCCTTAATCTAAAATATATATATATTTTTTTCTTTGTATTTTATTGTGTCTTAAGAATACTGATAATTTTCAGCTCAATATCCCTATATACTTTATTACCTATTTAGATCTTAGATTTCCATTTATGTCAGTTTCTTCAATAGGCCCCAGGGCCAATCTAGCCTCATTGTTGTCTATCGGCTGTAAAACAGTCTCTGAGGCATCACTGTCACAGGACTGTGCATCAGCTTCCTGAAAGGTAGAACCAAC